TTTATTGACCTGATTGGTCAATAAAGTCGCGATATTATTGGTCGACTGTCAGTTTAGCCGTGATGGTTTTGGCTATGAAAACTCGAAATATTATTGATGCGTTTCGACCCGGCCATTGTCAGAGCTTAACAGTCGTTTATTATTAGTCAAATTGTCGGTTGACAAGTAGTGCTCTCGTCTGAGATAGTTCTGACTTAATGTGTGCTTCGGCAAATCAGCCCGGTCCTGTGTGTGATACGTTAACCTTAAGCCCTTAAGAGTGATCAGCATCAAATTTCTCCTTGTAATATTAATGCTTTGTAAAACAGAGTGGTCATGAGAATTATGGACATGATCACCCAAGATCAATTTGCTTGATATTTTATCAACTTCTTCCCACTACTTCTGTAGGAAATGAATAGGGGCAGCAAATAAGAATTCAAATTTTGATCTTAGGGTGTAAAGGGTCAAACTACTACTGAGAGTTCCGTGTCTAGTTAACGATTTTTGTTAACTTGAGAAGTTGTTTTTCGTTGACTTGACGTGCCCTCGGTCTAATTTGACGCGGGTACCTCGCGTGCTACCCCCTCCCCCCTGACGTAGGGCATGTGCTTTAAGGAATTTAATGATCTCTCTATAGAGAGATATAGATATCATCGAGAGATTATAGATCGCGCATTTTTTTAAATTGCATAAGACCTTTAAAATAAAAAATAAGTGCTCTGAAAAAAGTGATTAAAAAAGTCTCTCTTCTTTAGCAGAAGCAACCACTGCTGCCTCGACCTTGTCCCCTACTATAACGACAGAAACATCACTAAAGAAGAGCACAACTAGCGAAGAAACTACAACAACAAAGGCAGGTGCAAGGAGAGATAAAAGGGAAGAAAGTGAAGAAAAAGGTAAGAAATCCCTAGGTCTTCCAATTAATATTCTAGATTTCTGCCATAAAATGTGATTTATATATACACTTGTTTCTTGTAAGTTTATTGAAATACGCCTCTTCCTATTGATCCCAATAGTTTCATGTTCACATTAATTTACCGTGCAATGTTTGTGTTGATATTAACAAGGATTACAAGTGGTTCTGTGTGTTTGTTCTGCTAGAAGCTCTAGGTTTAAGCCAATATAATCAAAACTCATTTAAACGCTAAAAAGTATTATCCTTTTTCCCCACAGGTGTAAATGTGGTCGCTGTTGTAGTTCCAGTTGTGGTTTTAATTATCCTGGTTTTGCTGGTTCTGGTTGGGTTTATTTATTATAAAAGGTAATTGTAATTTACCAAAGGCAAGTTAAAGTAATGTTGCCTAGAGAGCAGTGAAAAGTGAATCAAGTAGGTTATGAAGTTAATTGTTTTGTAATTTTGCAACAGAACTTGGTTAATTAACCAATAACCTAGTTGATGCAGGTTCGATGACTTTATGATTTCGTCTTTTTGTCCACCAAATGACACCTTCGATTCAATAATGTAGTATAAGTTACAAGTTATCGTTGATTCACATATTAATTAATCGTCAATGAAAGTACTGTTTAAATTTGTTCTTCAACAGCAAAATTTACAAAAACGATTTGTTTATTATACAGGAGAGGAAGCACAAAACTAGACAAGCATACGCCAAGCGTTATTTACGCGAGGTAATCTCAAAATAATAAAACGGAATAAATTAATTAGTCCAGTTTCGAATTCGTGCGCCCGCTGAATAGAAGCACTTAAGACTCATTTATACACGGTTAGCCTCGACCTAAAGTAAATATTCATAAATACCTTCTTTTTCTGACTGGAATTTGTGATTATAATATTTACCTATGGTCGAGGCAAACCCTGTATAAATGAGTCTTCAGTGGTTCCATTCAGTGGCTGTGACGAATTCTAAACTGGACTATCATTTGAAACATTTTAAGTAGGCATATTCTAGCAGATTTGCTTCCCTTTAAAGACCTTTACCCACCTCAAACCACTTTCTCGACTATGACTAAAGCACTCCTGGACAAATAATATAATATGAATAACATCTGAACCAACTGATGTATCAGCAAAAAAAAATCGTTACCAATTAAAGCATAGTAAAGCAGTAAAAATTTATTTCATTGTTTTTACTTACATATTTCTACCATTTTGATTTCCAGCCCGCAGATGACACATGACAATCCCTCTACTGATAGGTAAGGATTATGATCAGGCCAGAGCTTTAAAATCAGAGGACAGAGACATTTCAAGGTTGTCTTGCACTATGAGCAATCTCAATTGTCAGTGGCCTTAGAGCTGAAAAGAAAGAAGGAAAAAGTGGGGGGGGGGGGGGGGAATCAAAAGAAAGAAAGGGGGAAACCCACTTTTAACCCCCCAAAAAAAATTCCAAAAGGGAAGTTTTTTTAAAAAATTTCAAAGGGCAATTTTTAAGAGTTTTTTTTCCCTTTAAAGGGAGGGGGTGAAACCCACACAAAAACCCCTTAATTCACATGTTTTACCGCGTATAAGTTAAAAAGAAAGTTCTCCGTGGGTAATAAACACTTTTGGAAAACACCAANATGTCAATTTCCAGCCCGCAGACGGCACATGACAATCCCTCTACTGATAGGTAAGGATTCTGAACAGTCCAGAGCCTTAAAATCAGGGGACAGAGACATCTTAGATTGTCTTGCACAATGAGTGATCTCAATTTTAAACAGCCCTAGTGGTGAGAAGACTGAAGTAAAAATTGGATGGATAGTGAAGGTAGAACAGGGGTGAATCCACTATTCAGCGGCCGTAACAAATTAGAAACTGGACTAACATTTGAAACATTTCAGCATGCACATTTTAGCAAGTTTGCTTCCCTTTGAAGAGTAGGATAGAGAACCCACTTCTAAGCACCTAATTGATTAGCTCTGTCTTTGACTAAAGGACATGTACTTGTGAGCTATAACAGTTATGAGTAACACTCAAAGTAACTGACGTATCAGCAAAACAAAACAAAAAAATCGTAACAGATTAAAGTATAGTAAAGCAGTAAAAAATTATTTCATTGTTTTTACTTACCTATTTCTACCGTTTTGATTTCTAGCCTGCAAACGGCACACGACAATCCCTCTACTGATAGGTAAGGATTAAGAACAGTCCTGGGCCAGGTTTGTTTGAAACTGCATGGGTTAAGATAACCCAAGGTTAGTGCAAAATTTGAACTCAGATATGAGAGCTTTAAAAGCAAATTCAGTTTAATTCTCATTGTCTAAAATTTGATGATTGGATAGTTTAAAAAGAATATAGAAAATTATCTGAGAGAGTGCTTTTGATGAAAAGAAAAAGAAGCCTGGGTTAAAATTTAACCCTGGGTTAGGGCCAACTGGCATTCGAACAACTGGGTTCAGAGCCTTAAAATCAGTGGACAGAGACATCTTAAGGTTGTCTTGCACAATGAGCAATCTTAATTTTAAACAGCCCTAGTGCTGGGAAGACTGAAGCAATAAGGGGAGGACAAAGAAGGGCAGCTTGGGCAGATCTGGAAAATTCAAAAAGGGAGGCTGGTATACTTGGCAGCTACTTATTTCAGTGAGAATTCTTTAAAAATAGCACAAAATTTCACACAGAAAGGGGTGGCTTTGGTCACGCCGACCAAACCCTAAATCTGCCTATGGTGAAAGCTCCCTCCCTTCTCCCCACCTTAGTTCATCCTTTAAAGTCTGTATTCCCCTAAATCATGAACGACACACTAATACTCAAGTAAGATAAACATGGCTGACTGAGTTTTAAACTAAAAATAATCTACTGTTTGGGAGTTTCTTTCATCAAAGTACACTAAGGACATTATTTATGTTGTGATGATCAGTGTAACCAGTTACCTTCTGTAATGGGCCATTTGCAGCTAAATGGTCAAATTAGACAAACAACCTCTTGTGCTGCGGTGAAGCACAGTCCCACTGTCTCCGTGCCTTCCAGGCCTCATTAATGTTCAAAAGATAAATAAAGCTATCCTCTAGATAAATCTCTATCCAGTGGATAACATAATTGGTTTCCCTAATATTTATCCACCGGATACAGCTATCGAACATTTCAACAATTAGGGCCAGAAAGGTTTTTGCACCATGTGACTATTCAGCTGCAATGTACCTAAATAATATTGTACCAACACTATATTGACTTTTAGGTCAACTGGCAGGGCCCCACTATCAGTTGGAAATCCATGCTATGAACGGTGAGAACCTAAATTTGAGTAAATTTAAATGTGGCTAACAATAACAGAACAGACCTTGTAATGGTAAGATTTCCATACAGCCCCATACACTTAATATCATAATAATTATCATGTATGCAGCAATCTCACAAATCTATAGCTACTATTAATAGTCTCAGCATGCATTCATAATAGATGACTATGGGCCTGAGCAGAAATCCTATCTTTGTTATCAATGGGTGTATAATACTGTAGGGTGGTAATGGACCAGTTTCTATAGTCGGCAGATACAAAACGAAGGTCACAGGTCACAAGTCAGGTTAGAGTACAGGACACCATGCTACGGTAAATAAAAAACATTAAAAACGTCTCCTTGCCCTAACTACAATCTGAAATATAGAGTTTTAGCTTAAAGGGAAACTGCTTATCTCAGTTATTTATTAATAGAGTAGTGACCCGCCCTTGTGACCTGTGACCACAGGTAACCCAGGCTCTGTGATAGTACCACAGTACGGTTCCAGTAAAATTACAGTGTTTGTATGGGGTAAAAATATCATCCTAAAATTTCTAGGAAATACTAAATAAAGATCAATGAAACTTACTCTGCAGTTAATTGTTGTTGTCCTTATTGCTCCAACGAAGTTTCGTGATAATTTGCAGTAATTTGTTCAAATTCACTCTATCTACAATAATAATATACAAGGTAGGAAACACGAGGTGCCATTTTCGCCGACATGCTCTCATTCAACACAACTTTTTCCACGAAATTCGAACTCCAACGGAAAATAAACATGCCAGGATCGTAGAAATAGGATAGCAGCAGATATAGAAACCAATGAAGCTTTCCCAGATAGAGAAACGAATCCCACAGACTTTGACAAACTCGAAGAATATAATCCAAACACACCGAGAATACGCTCGCCGAAGCAGCCGGGCCAGATCAACGCGCGGCCAAGAAAATGAAGCCTGGGCACTGTACAAAAAAATTCCATCCCGGGGGTCCTGGGGTGACCTTTCTAGGGACCGATACATCATTTGCCCAAGGCCACCCTCCCCTGCTGGAAAAATACTTGATAGAAGGCAATTGTTCTTCCTAGCCAATCACTATGGCCTGTTATAAAGAGATTATTTTCCTCTCGAACTATATTCAGCTCCTGGCGCTGGTCCTCAGAAAGTTTATCAAACATCAATAGGGCAAGGTTATAAGGGCAAAGGAAAGAACAACGAAGGACGATTTACAAAACTTAAAACGAGCAAAAGATATAAGTGAATTTTGGCTCTTACCGAGGCATTTGTACAACAGGACCAAATTCAAAGAGAGGTGTATCACGATGATTCACATATTTAACCGATAGAGCGTTCACTTGTATTGACAAGAAGTCGGCGTGTTACTGCCGCATTAATCGCTAAATATGTTAATCGCGCTAGTTCTTTGTTTACTAGTGCACGTGCCTTTCACATTCGTCTCAGTTATCGCAATTCATATTCTGTCGCAATTTTCTGTATAATTTTTGACATTAGTTTGTAAGCTTCAACGTTTATTTACGATAGTTTCGCTCGAGAGTTCACAGCAACAGTATCTCAGTCATCATCTACCTTTTGTTCAACCTTGTTTTTAGCCCGCCTTGTAAGCATTTCGCGTTGTTATTTCATTAGTTTCATTACTGTTATTTGCATTCCTTAGTAAAAGAAATGGGACGCCTTGTAACTCCGCAGACTCTCCTGATTATATTACTTTTTTTTTAGCCATTTAAATTCAGGCGCGTGTGCGGGGTTTGCTCTGGCAAATGGTGATTGGCTAGGAAGAACAATTGCCTTCTATCAAGTATTTTTCCAGCAGGGGAGGGTGGCCTTGGGCAAATGATGTATCGGTCCCTAGAAAGGTCACCCCAGGACTCCCGGGATGGAATTTTTTTGTACAGTGCACAGGCTTCATTTTCTTGGCCGCGCGTTGATCTGGCCCGGCTGCTTCGGCGAGCGTATTCTCGGTGTGTTTGGATTATATTCTTCGAGTTTGTCAAAGTCTGTGGGATTCGTTTCTCTATCTGGAAAAGATTCATTGGTTTCTATATCTGCTGCTATCCTATTTCTACGATCCTGGCATGTTTATTTTCCGTTGGAGTTCGAATTTTGTGGAAAAAGTTGTGTTGAATGAGAGCATGTCGGCGAAAATGGCACCTCGTGTTTCCTACCTTGTATATTATTATTGTAGATAGAGTGAATTTGAACAAATTACTGCAAATTATCACGAAACTTCGTTGGAGCAATAAGGACAACAACAATTAACTGCAGAGTAAGTTTCATTGATCTTTATTTAGTATTTCCTAGAAATTTTAGGATGATATTTTTACCCCATACAAACACTGTAATTTTACTGGAACCGTAATGTGGTACTATCACAGAGCCTGGGTTACCTGTGCTGTGACCGGCAATTTAACTTAAAGTCGCATTTATATGATATATTTGCCATATTTAGACGTTGCTTAACTTACCCACCTTATGCAGGTTTGCAAAACACAAACCATAAAACTTTTCCTTCGTGAGTATAAGCTTGTCAGCGATGGACATTTCTAGTGCTAATAATGCTTGTGGAATGCAAGCGTTTCAGGGCAGGAGGTGGCCGCCATCTTTGATCAGCTGTTTCAGATTGCTGAGGAAGATTGGGGCCACTTGCCCCAACTTCCTGCGGCCTTTGTTGTGCCAGATAAATACAGAATTACGCCGTGAAGTACCACATGTTCGAGGTATTATTATATGCAGGCACACACACCAGTCATGAACAAGAATCAAGCGAAACTTGCTATTTCCGAAGATAAAACTCATAACTCACAACTGATTAAGAAAACTTCAGTCTCGCTAAGGAAACAGTAATGCAGAGTCAGTGTGAAAGTACCTAATGTGAATGTAGCGTTTCTAACACTAGTTCTGTGTCAAAATGATGTGTTTTGTTCTGGGACACGTTTTTGAAGTTAAAGTGCCTGATTTAAAAATAAATTAGTTGCGAATTTACTTCTGATGATAGACAAAAAACCCTTTATTAATAAGTTGGCATTCGTAAATTCTGACGATATAATGGTATTTGAAGATTTTTTAGGCCAGACTTTCATTAACTATCCCATGTTTTTTGGCTTTTTGCTCAGAAAAATCTCTTCTCGCATTGTAGTTTTTCTAAGGTCTTGACTTCGAACGAGACTGATGAGAGTTAACATTACACGGACAGTATCCTTTTTTATTATATTCGCTTGTCTTTAAATTTTAAAACCATCCAGTTTGCTGTTTTCTTCGTAGTGGTTTCATCAGTATAGCTAACGATGAGTGTTCAGAAGCCTTCGAACTATACAGCTCACTAAATCCGAACACCATGGATAGGAGAGAACCCTGCGGACAACCAGACGAACAATACCAAACACTTTACAGGGGAGCACCAGTATACGACACTCTAGAACCAGGCCAGGCTTCGAGTAACCCAATCTATGAAAGGTTTGTGTGTTGCATGGCCTTTGCTTATGAGTAATAAGGTTGCGCACGTGACCCGGGGTTCTAGTGACCATGTAACTACTGAGCCACTGTATGGTTACCTGAAGTCGCGACGATCGCCATTGATGAAGCGACGATTTACGACGGATTAAAGCGCCGATTGCATTGCCATCGGCAATCAAATTTGACAACGTCAGTCATGTAATAACGGCAAAGAAAACTGCCAAAAGTGTGCAACACTTTCATAGTGTTTGTTTTGCTTATTTTCTCGTTGCCGTCGTCGTTGTGGTTGCGCTGATTTCGATAGTACCGTTACCACGCAAAACAATTCTCGATCATGGCACGATTTTGCCTGAAAAACCGACGATTCGATGGAAAACGCAGGACGAAATCGATGTCCTCAGGTAACCATTCAGAGGCTCACCACTGACTGGAGGATTCAGCAAATCGGTCCTTTATTTTAGCATGATGCCGTTCCATTTGTCCTAAGGGATATCCACTAAATAGGAAGCTTTATGTTCACACCCATTACTTTTTACGATACTGTTATTTGAACCACTCTGCTGGCTGAATACGGGACCGCCATACCATTCTACTTGGTGATGCTTTCAAAGGGCGCAACTTATGATCCAGCTGTAGGCAGCACAAAAAGACCTCTTTTTATTCCCAGTTGTTCGGCAGCCCTTGTGCTTTGAAGTCTTAGAAAACCGCTCTAATTTAACGTTTAAGTCCTAAAGTCTTTTTCTTTTCGCTTTTGCATAAGTTACGTCTACAACTGCGATGATTTTCATTACGTTTAATTCTTCATGCCACAGTTGTAATATATTATTTCATATTTGGAAAACTTTTCTGTCTCCCTTACCTTTGCAGCACCTCTTGAACGAGGAACCTTTTGGTTAACCCCGAGAGGGTCTGGAACAGGGCGACGAGCAAAGAAGACGGAAACGCACACACTGTATATTGCAACAGAGACATAAAAGCCTTTTCATTAACAATTTGTAGAAAGAACGTTGTGTAAATTTTCTATTCGCCTGTTGCCAAATGTGAAGGAAAGCAGCCAACAGGCTGAGTTTTACGAATCAGTGAGTTAGGCGGAAAAGTAACTGAGGTTTAACTTAAATATACACTGTTAAAGAGTATGTGCGTCTCATCTATTCTACTTGCAATAATCTCGAGCCTAATTTTAGTAGGGTAGATCAGTAAATGTAAAGAGCTGAAAAAAGTGTTATTAAATATTGTCGAATTTGACGTGTTGCTATACGCTTGTGTGTAGTGTCAAGTTGTCTTGTGGCAATTCGGTTGGATTTTCTCTTAAAGTCAGCCTTCATTTTAATCGTTGTGAGTCTGAATGTTAAGAAGTTTTGATTTGGCGATTTTACATTCATGGGAAATAATACTTTCTTGGCAAATAATGGAACAGACATCCCGGAAGAGAAAAACAATATGAGAGCTGCGTTGCTCATGATAACAGTAAATCAAATCAAATCCATTATCCATATGTTCCAATATACGTAGGTTTGATATGATCTTTTACGGGATATTTGGAGCTATTTTTGCTTTGATGGGTAAATATAAGAATTTTTAGAAATGAAGGTAAAGAAATATAAGCGAGGGTACGTTTGTGTGACACTAAGCAAAAACTCCCCGAAAACCTATTAAAACCTTAGCAACTGTTCAGTGACCGTGTTACAGCTGGTGTTAAAAAAAAATCCTTTAAAAACAGGTGATGCTGTAACTTAATTTGATCTTCTGTTTTGTCTCTTTACGATTTTACTGTCAGCCCTTTAAAGATCCTCTTTACATCAACTAGATTCGTACAAAAGTTTGACTCACTGGACCCCCTGGGAATGGATGGAATAATCTCTCCAACCTTTGTTGTCTTTAATGAAATCAAAAGCTGATCGCTGAATTTAATACGTCATCTGTAAGTGACAAATGCAAATGTAGTAGAATATCTAACGATGTCAAGTCAACATTGGCGTTGGCTCATAGTAAACAGAGTAAATTCCTGAGCAATGGACGGCAAAAGGACAACTCAGTTTGTTATGCTCTCAGGTAAGACAATCTATTTTGTAACAACCAGACGTGTCAAAGGATGTCGAAGCCTTAGCTTTTTGGCACAATCAACCCCCCGCTCGATATGTTTACAAATATCCAATATAAGGGTGTTTAATCTTCTAATTACATAGTGTCTCTAAATCGTGGACTTGAAACACTGTGTTGATTACAGGCGGATTGTTTTGAATCCAAATCGTTCGTTTTTCCTTCGACTGTTGCTTAGATAAAAAGCGCCACAAAGGGGAACAAAACAGCCCAAAACAACTTAATAATGGTTGGTAATTATGCCGAGGTTAATAACAATCTTCCTACAAAGTTGTCTCTCTTGACAACACAAGCTTGGGACGCATAATTTGACAAATCACATCTTTGACTTTACAAGATAAAGGCAATATGCCTTGTAGTTTGTTTCACTTTAATCCTCACTGTTTAGGCGACAAAAATTACTTTGATGTGTGCTCGTCAGTTAATAATTACCAGAATTGGGTGCACATGCACGAGATTAGCAGGATGCAATTAAGAAGGGTACATTGTGGAACAGGATATGAAATAACTTAATTGTCCATCACAATCAGAGGTCACCGACGAAACTTGTAGTATCTTAATAACACTGATTTGAGTTAGTTAGTTAAGCTCAAGGTGTCTACAAAAGAAATTCGCGTTTTTAAGCCACTGTACTGTGTTGATCACAATCGGATAATACTCAGTTCTAGTATATATTAATCGTTTTAGATAATAAATCGCATGAATAATTAGCAATCAGACCACTTCACCCGTGACGCGACATTAACTTATAATCAGTGAATTACAATTCAAGCTACATTTCAACCATCTTCGTTTTCAATTAATGACATTTTTCGTAAACCTAATAAGTCAAAAACAGTTTTATGTATTAGTTACTATTATTATTATCATTATTTTCATCTATTCTGTTTTTTGTTGTTGTTATTTCCTGTGATGCGGGATTTCTCTAAGGCAAGTGTCAGGATAAAAATTTTGGCTCTTCTCTAAGACAAATTCTCCTTAAATATCTAGGAAAAGTCCCCCTTCGGTATTTAGTCGCTATCCTTTCCTCTAAAACCCACAAAAGACATATTGACTTAGGTAGCGGATTATTTGTAGCGGCGGCCTTCTTGTGTGTCCTTATCACATGAAAGTGTAAACATGATTCTAATCTTTCTTTTATTAAATACCTCTTTTAAATGCTTGTTTCTGTTTTGTTTTCTTTTTAATAGGAGTCTTGCTTTTGAATGCTTTGGCACAACAAACCGGTAGGTAACCTTCCAGTTGTTTAGGGAGACTCGCTCGTTAAGGCCGTGCGGTGGCCACCCGGGGGTGGCCAGTTCTCGGCCGAGGATGCCCGTAAAAAACGCAAAAGGGTTGAGAGATGAAGCCGTCCACACTATTTAAAAGCATGGACTAGGATAGCTTAGGATGTCTTCCTCTTCATCGAACGCGATAGTTGCATTCAGGCCGTAGGCGCAATCCGACTTTCTTTCCGCCCTTTTGTTAGCGAAACAAACGGAGTCCTCTGGCAAAGGGACTAACTACTCAAAACGAACTGAATGGCCACCTGTATTTAGTGTTTCGTATCTCAAAAGTTAGAAAACTTTGTACTTTGACTTATACGAAAAGGATTATAAACAGGGCAGGGCCGAAACAGCGCAGGGCCGAAAAGGCTAACGTTGCACAGCATAATTAAGCGTCTGTACCACGGAAAAGCTCTCAAGCTGTCATTTGAACGGTTTCATCATAGGTTTTTACTCATAGACTAAAAAGGTTAGACCCCGCCGGTTAGACCGAGCTTGTACAGCGTGATGAACATCACAACAGGAAAATTTGTTGTCAGTAGCTTGGTCACGCTTCATCCACAGACCAAACGTAAAACCAGAATACAAAATCCTCAATGGCTATTGCTTTCAGTTAACACAAGTGAAGGTACAAAAAAAAATATTAAAGTTCATTTTCAGTTCGTTTAGTGGGAGGACCAAATGCAAGAGAGGGCCGGGTTGAAGCTTTCTTCTCTGGGGTCTGGAGCTTAGTGTGTGGTGCAGGATGGGATATGTCAGATGCCGAAGTTGTTTGTCAGTCCCTGGGTTATGGAAGAGCCTCTGCATACAGTGTAAATCTCACCATTGCCAATCAAGCAAACAATACCGTGTGGCTAAGTGGAGTGCGATGCATCGGAAACGAGACCTCTCTTTCTGAGTGTGCCCATGATGGATGGGGAGAAAACAGTTGTGCCGAAAATCGAGCTGCAGGTGTCACATGTTTTCAAAGTTGGCATTCGTAAATTCTGACGATATAATGGTATTTGAAGATTTTTTAGGCCAGACTTTCATTAACTATCCCATGTTTTTTGGCTTTTTGCTCAGAAAAATCTCTTCTCGCTTTGCAGTTTTTCTAAGGTCTTGACTTCGAACGAGACTGATGAGGGTTAACATTACACCGACAGTATTCTTTTTTATTATATTCGCTTGAATGTCTTTAAATAAAATTTAAAACCATCCAGTTTGCTGTTTTCTTCGTAGTGGTTTCATGAATTTAGCTAACGATGAGTGTTCAGAAGCCTTCGAACTATACTCTTCACTAAATCCGAACACCATGGACAGGAGAGAAGCCTGCGGACAACTAGACGAACAGTACCAAACACTTTACAGGGGATCACCAGTATACGACACTCTAGAACCGGGCCAGGTTGCGAGTAACCCAATCTATGAAAGGTTTGTGTGCTGCATGGCCTTTGCTTATGAGTAATAAGGTGGCGCACGTAACCCGAGGTTCTAGTGACCGTGTGACTACTGAGCCACTGTATGATTACTGGAAGTCGCGACGATCGCCATTGATGAAGCGACGATTTACGACGGATTAAAGCGCCTTTGACAACGTCAGTCATGTAATAACGGCAAAGAAAACTGCAAAAAGTGTGCAACACTTTCATAGTGTTTGTTTTACTTATTTTCTCGTTTCCGTCGTCGTTGTGGTTGCGCTGATTTCGATAGTACCGTTACCACGCAAAACAATTCTCGATCATGGCACGATTTTGCCTGAAAAACTGACGATTCGATGGAAAACGCAGGTCGAAATCGATGTCCGCAGGTAACCATTCAGAGGCTCACCACTGACTGGAGGATTCAGCTGATCGGTCTTTTATTTTAGCATGATGCCGTTCCATTTGTCCTAAGGGATATCCACTAAATAGGAAGCTTTATGTTTACACCCATTACTTTTTACGATACTGTTATTTGAACCACTATGCTGGCTGAATACGGGACCGCCATACCAGATATGATCCAGCTGTGGGCAGCACAAAAAGACCCAGTTTTTTTGTCCCCAGTTGTTCGGCTGCCCTTGTGCTTTGAAGTCTTAGAAAACTGCTCTAATTTAACTTTTAAGTCCAAAATTCTTATTCTTTTCGCTTTTGCAAAAGTTGCATCTACAACTGCGATGATTTTCATTATGTTTAATTCTTCATCCCGCAGTTGTAATATATTATTTCATATTTGGAAAACTGTTCTGTCTCCCTTACCTTTGCAGCACCTCTTGAACGAGGAACCTTTTGGTTAACGCCGAGAGGGTATGGAACAGGGCGACGAGCAAAGAAGACGGAAACGTACACACTGTATACTCTGAGAGACATAAAAGCCTTTTAATTAACAATTTGTAGAAAGTGCGTTATATAAATTTTCTATTCGCTTGTTGCCAAATGTGAAGGAAAGCAGCTAACAGGGTGAGTTTTACGAATCAGTGAGTTAGGCGGAAAAGTAACAGGTTTAACTTAAATATACACTGTTAAAGAGTGTGTGCGTCACATGTGCGTCACATCTATTCTACTTGCAATAATCTCGAGCCTAATTTTAGCAGGGTAGATCAGTAGATGTAAAGAGCTGAAAGAAGTGTTATTAAATATTATCGAATTTGACGTGTTGCTATACGCTTGTGTGTAGTGTCAAGTTGTCTTGTGGCAATTCGGTTGGATTTTCTCTTAAAGTCAGCCTTCATTTTAATCGTTGTGAGTCTGAATGTTAAGAAGTTTTGATTTGGCGATTTCACATTCATGGGAAATAATACTTTCTTGGCAAATAATGGAACAGACATCCCGGAAGAGGAAAACAATATGAGAGCTGCGTTGCTCATGATAACAGTAAATCAAATCAAATCCATTATCCATATGTTTCCAATATACGTAGGTTTGATATGATCTTTTATGGGATATTTGGAGCTATTTTTGCTTTGATGGGTAAATATAAGAATTTTTAGAAATGAAGGTAAAGAAATATAAGCGAGGGTACGTTTGTGTGACACTAAACAAAAACTCCCCGAAAACCTATAAAAACCTTACCAACTGTTCAGTGACCGTGTTACAGCTGGTGTTAAAAAAAAAATCCTTTAAAAACAGGTGATGCTGTAACTTAATTTGATCTTCTGTTTTGTCTCTTTACGATTTTACTGTCAGCCCTTTAAAGATCCTCTTTACATCAAACTAAATTCGTACAAAAGTTTGACTCACTGGACCCCCTGGGAATGTGTGAAATAATCTCTCCAACCTTTGTTGTCTTTAATGAAATCAAAAGCTGATCGCTGAATTTAATACGTCATCTGTAAGTGACAAATGCAAATGTAGTAGAATATCTAACGATGTCAAGTCAACATTGGCGTTGGCTCATAGTAAACAGAGTAAATTCCTGAGCAATGGACGGCAAAAGGACAACTCAGTTTGTTATGCTCTCAGGTAAGACAATCTATTTTTTAAAAACCAGACGTGTCAAAGGATGTCGAAACCTTAGCTTTTTGGCACAATCAACCCCCCGCTCGATATGTTTACAAATATCCAATATAAGGGTGTTTAATCTTCTAATTACATAGTGTCTCTAAACCGTGGACTTGAAACACTGTGTTGATTACAGGCGGATTGTTTTGAATCCAAATCGTTCGTTTTTCCTTCGACTGTTGCTTAGATAAAAAGCGCCACAAAGGGGAACAAAACAGCCCAAAACAACTTATTAAATGGTTGGTAATTATGCCGAGGTTAATAACAATCTTCCTACAAAGTTGTCTCTCTTGACAACACAAGCTTGGGACGCATAATTTGACAAATCACATCTTTGACTTTAGAAGATAAAGGCATTATGCCTTGTAGTTTGTTTCAATTTAATCCTCACTGTTTAGGCGACAAAAAATACTTTGATGTGTGCTCGTCAGTTAATAATTACCAGAATTGGGTGCACACACAAGATTAGCAGGATGCAATTAAGAAGGGTACATTGTGGAACAGGATATGAAATAACTTAACTGCAGTCCATCACAATCAGAGGTCACCGACGAAACTTGTAGTATCTTAATAACACTGATTTGAGTTAGTTAGTTAAGCTCAAGGTGTCTACAAAAGAAATTCGCGTTTTTAAGCCACTGTACTGTGTTGATCACAATCGCATAATACTCAGTTCTAGTATATATTAATCGTTTTAGATAATAAATCGCATGAATAATTAGCAATCAGACTACTTCACCCGTGACGCGACATTAACTTATAATCAGTGAATTACAATTCAAGCTACAGTTCAACCATCTTCGTTTTCAATTAATGATATTTTTCGTAAACCTAATAAGTCAAAAACAGTTTTATGTCTAGTTATTATTATTATTATTATCATTATTTTCATCTATTCTATTTCATCTGTTCTGTTTTTGTTGTTGTTATTTCCTGTGCTTGGATGCGGGATTTCTCTAACGCAAGTGTCAGGATAAAAATTTTGGCTCTTCTCTAAGACAAATTCTCCTTAAATATCTAGGAAAAGTCCCCCTTCGGTATTTAGTAGCTATACTTTCCTCTAAAACCCACAGAAGACTTATTGACTTAGGTAGCGGGTTATTTGTAGCGGCGACCTTTCTGTGTGTCCTTATCACATGAAAGTGTAAACATGATTCTGATCTTTCTTTTATTAAATACCCCTTTTAAATGTTTTTTTCTGTTTCGTTTTCTTTTTAATAGGAGTCTTGCTTTTGAATGCTATGGCACAACAAACCGGTAGGTAACCTTCCGGTTGTTTAGGGAGACTCGCTCGTTAAGGCCGTGCGGTAGCCAGTTCTCGGCCGAGGATGCCCGTAAAAAACGCAAAAGGGTTGAGAGATGACGCCGTCCACACTGTTAAGCATAGACTAGGATGTCTTCTTCTTCATCGAATGCGATAATTGCATTCTGACCATAGGCGCAATCCGACTTTCTTTCCGCCCTTTTGTTAGCGAAACAAACGGAGTCCTCTGGCAAAGGGACTAACTAACTCAAAAAGACCTGAATGGCCACCTGTATTTAGTGTTTAGTATCTCAAAAGTTAGAAAAACTTTGCTCTCTGACTTATACGAAAAGGATTATAAACAGCGCAGGGCCGAAAAGGGTAACGTTGCACAGCGTAATTAAGCGTCTGTACCACGGAAAAGCTCACAAGCTGTCATTTGAACGGTTTCATCATAGGTTTTTACTCATAGACTAAAAAGGTTAGACCCCGCCGGTTAGACCGAGCTTGTACAGGGTGATGAACATCAGCACAGGAAAGTAGTTGTCACTAGCTTGGTCTCGCTTCATCCACAGACCAAACGTAAAACCAGAATACAAAATCCTCAATGGCTATTGCTCTCAGTTAACACAAGTGAAAGTACAGTATTAAAGTTCATTTTCAGTTCGTTTAGTGGGAGGACCAGATGCAAGAGAGGGCCGAGTTGAAGCTTTCTTCTCTGGGGTCTGGAGCTTAGTGTGTGGTGCAGGATGGGATATGTCAGATGCCGAAGTTGTTTGTCAGTCCCTGGGTTATGGAGGAGCCTCTGCATACAGTGTAAATCTCACCATTGTCAATCAGGCAAACAATACCGTGTGGCTAAGTGGAGTGCGATGCATCGGAAACGAGACCTCTCTTTCTGAGTGTGCCCATGATGGATGGGGAGAAAACAGTTGTGCCGAAAATCGAGCTGCAGGTGTCACATGTTTTCACCAAGGTTGGTTATCGTACACGTTAAAGAATAAATAATAATAAACAATAATCAGAACTGCAATGCGGGTCTTACCATATTAGGGCAAAACACAAGCCAGTCGACTTTCTATTGAAAGGCACTTCGGTAAAACAGACATTTAAAATGGGCCCATAGACCTTTCCTTTTTTTCTGATTTCTCAAAATAATCAACGCATAATGGTTTTCAACTGAGAACTTAACAACAGCCAAGTTAGCTGCTTCGTTGTCGTCCACCGGTAGATAGAAAGGCAACACTGGCCCGACTTGTACGAATGGTAGGGGTAACTACAACGTAATAGGCCATTTCCGAGTTTCCCCGGGGCCTCTGTATCAAAACGAGGTTAAGTGCTCAGCCTTTGATATGGAAGTGATTTTTCATTCTCATGCAAGTAAAACTCATTTTCACATGAAAGGTTGTGCACTTGGCCTCATTTTGAAAGTGAGGGTTTTTGGAACTCAGAAGTGGCCTATTGAAAGCCGGGAATGTTCAAATGTTATAAAACATGACAAAGTAGTGAAAAGTGGACGTTATTTGGTTAATATAGTAAATACGTGGGAGTACGAATATTGAAGAACGTAAATTTAGCATTAGGAAGTTAAAATTTTTTCCATCAATAAATATACGTACTGCTTCTACAAATTGTCCTTTGGTGTTTTCTTCTGGTCACTACTAATTAAGGGGTACTATTTATTTTCTTGTGTTTTCACTTGTATTTTTTAGCAAGACCACAATTAATTTCAAGTGGCCTGGACACCATCACGATAAAATATCAACCAGTCCGCGTTACAGATATTTCATATACGGTCCAAATATGGTCAAACACTACTGCAACATGGCGCGACACAAGATGCATTCAAAGCACAGTTAAAAACACTTGTGTTGTGACAAACCTGAGTAGGATTGTCACTCTGACTGGTTTGAGTCCTGGGCATGCGTACTTCGTCAGACTTGCTTCTTCCTCTCAAGGGTTTAGTCAAGTGTCCGAGCCAATGGAAACCAAGAAATTAGGTAAGAGCCTGACCCTAACATTTTCTTTCTAGTATTTCAGTGCTGACATGATAATTCCAACTGAAAAAATCTTTATTTTACTTTATGTTCAAGGTTTCCCTCTGCAACTCGAAATCGTTTCTAGTTCAAGTAATTCCGTTTCCTTGAAATGGGTGTCAGCCAACTCGGTAATCTCTAATTACACCGTGGAAGTAAAATGCTGCGAGGAAACCACATGGACAAAAGCGTACTGTTCAGAAAGTCTGATTGGTCGAGACTGCACTTTAAGCGATACAACGGCCACAGTGATTGGTCTTGAGCCAAACGAAAAGTATTATTTCAGAGTCTATGCTTTGTATAAGAACTTCAAGAGCGCGGTGAGTATGTCGAGTGGAGCAGTCAGGACCAAGCCAGAAGTCAAAAGTAAGTCAATATTTTGTACATGTTACTACGTTTGTCAGCCTTTCGGTCAAACTTCAGCTAAAATCAATAACATAAAAAACGCACAATCTACAATTTGATAGTATTTCTGTAGTAATTGACAATAATACCCTTTTTTTCTGCCTTTCAAGATGAGTTAATACGGGCAGTCAAGAGCCATAATGTCCCATCATGGCTCTTGGGCAGTTTATTGACCTTAGACTGCTTGCCTTTTCTGGCTTCGCCGCTCGCGAGCATGGGTTACGTGTAAAGTAGCTTTGCAAAGAAAAATGAGAGACTGCACGCAGTCTAGTTGTCCATGGTCATGCAAACGAAAGGAAAATTAGCGAAAATAATGAGAAAAGCAAAGATATTACTTTGTTAACCGTTTGCTGTAAAAGATTCCCTTAAAACTGTATCCAATGAGTTAATTTATTACTGGTTTGCAGGTGAGGTCACGGAGGACATGTTGGTGGTTAACCCGGAACGAAAGCGTTTCTCTCCTCTGGGAACTAAAACTTGTTTTCATGTAAATGTTTGGAAAAGGATATTACCACCACCAAGATGGCCGCCTTGTCACGTGATTGCAAACCAATAATACTCCTGATAGTGGCAATTTTGGGGTAGCGAGTGAGACTGGGTCTGTGATGTGTCGAATGGCACTGTGGGACTGGTATGTGGACAAACTTGGACCCAGTATCCTGCGCAACATCATTATTGCCAACAAAAGAAATGATGGTGTAACAAACAATCCCATAACGCAATTGTACACAACACCGACCCGTTCCTCAGCGCATGTTTAAAACAACCAGTTACAGAGTATGTGCAATACTTGAAAAGAAAACAGATTTAGAGGACTCAGGTGCTAGGAGAACAGTTTATAGGCTGAAACTTAGCAGGTAGTATAACATTCGTTAGAAACAGTAAACAAAAAACAAAAACAAAAGTCCGCAACTCGGCCTAGAGTTCTAAACTGGGATTTAACATCCCAGCTAGTTAAACATTGCATGAAAAAAGAAAAAAAGTCAAATTTTCCTGTTTAATATTTTAGATTTTACAACCTATCAAATTTGGATGAGTTCTCAAAATCCCGGATGTATAACGTCACAGACCGGTCATACTATAACCCTGTTTTGTCACACGCCCGTCGGCGAAATTACCGTTTTCAAATGGACTAGAGGTGGAAGAGTAGTTTCCAATGGGAGCACCAGTGGCGTTCTAAATGTACCTATTTCCTCATCGGATGATTTTGGGGTGTACACCTGTCACGCGATGAATAAACATGGTGTCACAAGCTACAACATAACAGTTTGTCAGAATACAGATCACGTTGGAGTAGCGGCCTCGGAAGGTATCAGTTCCTTAAATTATCGTTAACTGGTATAAGAAAAGTCGCGCGATCAAGTAACCTTCTTTGCCGCATGAAAATGTTTCTACCGTTAAATAATATAATTAACTGTGTTTATCCAAGGCCACTTATATGACAGGGATGATGTACGCACGTACTGACGGGCAACCAAAATTTCTTGGATGCATAGATGACCAAATTTTCTGCCCATAGTGATCCACTGAGCGCGGTCTTCGGACGCGCGTGACGCTCTTACCGAGAGCAGCCGGGTTAATAACAAGGTTTCGAGTCTTTTCACGGTGGTAGCTTAACCTCATTAACTAAATTTCATAGGTTTTGTCTGACTTAGAACAACCTTTTATGATTATTCCCCCAGTCCCGGGGGTGGATACTCGTGGAAATTCCTGGTGGGGGTGTGCCGCCCGGTTCTCTAAATCCTGACCCGATTTCAGACCAAAAAATGTCATTTTCCAGACCCGTTTTCAGACCAGACCTCTAAAATCCATACCCGTTTTCAGAACTGGCCGTTAGGCAGAAATTATGTTAGTATTGCTTAGATTAGAGCGCAAACGAAAAAAAATTCCTCAAATTCGTTTGCATTCGCATATTTCTCTTTCTTTCTTACTCATTTGGAATTAAAACGATAAATACGTTCATACACTCGCGTAGTTCCCTCGAAAACCATACCCGATTCCAGACCAAAATGGGCAAAGTGTATACCCGTTTCAGACCAAAACTAGTTAAAACGGCGCAAAAACCCTACCTGATGGGACGGCACATACCTATATAGCCTATATAAGGGAGTACCCCCCGGGCCCCCAGTATATATGGGCATATAACCCAGCTTTCCTTTTTTTTCACAACGTGAGTAAATATCAGATCAGAATGCAACATTTTTAATAGAATACTAGTACACTATAAATACGATTTACTTTATAGCTGTTGTGCGAACTAACATTCTCTCTAACTTTCTCGACAGATTACAATCATGTAGCTATCGCTGTCATTACAACTTGCTTTATCTGTTTTGCAATATTCATCGTCGTGTTGATTCTTTTGAAAATGGCTCGGATCCGCCATCGACGAAGGAAACAATCTCTGGACGCGGCAACTAACAGAGAAGAGATAGCTATGCTGCATTACAGACAAAAAATATCCAGAAGCGGTAACAATAACGAGGACGACCTGGAGTAAAACCTATCCTGTTCACATTAAGTCTGCGCAGTTACATTGTCCTGCTATCCCTTGTCACAGGTCTCGATCCCTTGGCGGGGAGGGGGTACTCGCTATAATGGCCCATACGGGGAAGCTCCGCCCGAATCAGGTATCTGATTCACAACTGGTATATAGAACGGTAAGGGGTTGGACCACGTGGCGGAGCCTCCCCGTATAAGCTTTTTTGAGTACCCCTTGGGTCGTAAACCTCGTCTGTGTCCCCTAAAAGTGGTGGCGAAAGAACATTTTGGCAGAGTTACTTTGTGGTGCGCTTGTTTGCAGGATAAAAATACCACGAATACTAAAAATTATTTGTTCAAACATGGTGACATTACTTCAAGTGTAACCCCGAAGCCAGTTGAAGGCTGGCGCTAAAAGAGAAGAGGATAGAAAGGCTAGAGAGGTTGACTAAGTTGACCGAGCTGAAAGTCAGACTCGCGTTAGCCGTTAAATTTGACGTTAAACTATGCTGTTAGAGACCTTCAGATCGAGGTTTTTTGGTAGTTTCCGTAGACTGCGAACGTTAAGAATTCAAATGACTAGTGCCGTGCCGTTAGGTTCACGTTTTCACGGCTAGACTACGCTGTTGAGGGAAGAGATTTACCGCAAGGTTCTTGCAACCAAAAGCGTCAAAATCCGACGTTTATTATATAATACTTTTTAGAACTATTTGGCTTATCGAATCCTTTTTCATCGAAACGTAATTTTGAAGACGATTTCTCAGCTAAATCAGAAGTCAACGAATGACTGAACGAAAACCTACCATCCGCAAATCTTTAGTACCAAATATGGGAAGACGGCTAACGTGAAACCGCAAACCGCAGTTTGCCGGCATTTGCGGTAAGATGGCCAAACTTGGATCTCAAGGTCTCTAATATCCGCTTGAAAACAAAGAATGTTCAAACCTCTGCACAGGTAGCCCTATCAGGAATAACCGCTCCCGCAGTGGGGAGGTTTCTGAGAAACTGTGCACCTACCCCTCCCCTAAGTCATCATTTTTAATCCCTAAGTGAGAAGTAAGTGTTAACGTTAGCTTAAGGGAGGGGTAAGTGGGTAGTTCCCAGAAACCTAAATTGATCCCAAAAAGACAATTTTATCAAAGGCGTTTTTGAGTGACGCACGTCAACAGGAAAAGACGTTCCTGAGCAGTGGCTTTGCCCAGATTTTCAGTTAAACCGTGTCTACAAGGGTGAAGAAACCAAGTAATACAAATTTTATAGTGCCAAAACATATTGAAACGGAAAAGTCCTCACTTCCGGTTGACTGACATGCGTCTCTCAAAAATTAAAGGCGTTTTTGAGCGACGCACGTCTACCGGAAGTGAAGCATTTTCCTTTTTAATATGCCACGACGCTACCAAACTATTTTTGCCAATTCTTTACTCTTATAGAGACGATCTTACCGAAAACATGGACAAAACCACTTCTGACCGTAGTGGACAGTCACTGTCAACAACAGTCCTTTCTAGAACTACGTTTACCCGGACGATCAGACATGTTCAACTTACTTATGAAGTCACTCCTGGGCACAGTTACAACTTTCTATGTCTCTTTCCCTAATGTGTCGTTTCGTGTTCCATCGTAATGACTATAGTTTTTCCATAATTTTAATGGTATCCAGTAACCGACACACTCAATGCAGGGACGCTATTCAAGCTTGGGCCACCTGCGGTATCAAAAGCAGTTCAGTGGCCTTAAAGGCCCAAAGCAAATCCCGAATAGAAAATATCGGGGAACAAAAAGTATCTTTTTGAGATTTTAAAAGTCATGCCGGTGTTTTGCACACCGTTAACTACTACAAAACTATTTCATCTGATCCTCATCAGGCAAGCCGAAATCACTGAAAGCGCGAGATAAGTAGAAAACAGGATTTGGATAGCTTTCTATTTTTCCCTATATTNCTAATGTGTCGTTTCGTGTTCCATCGTAATGACTATAGTTTTTCCATAATTTTAATGGTATCCAGTAACCGACACACTCAATGCAGGGACGCTATTCAAGCTTGGGCCACCTGCGGTATCAAAAGCAGTTCAGTGGCCTTAAAGGCCCAAAGCAAATCCCGAATAGAAAATATCGGGGAACAAAAAGTATCTTTTTGAGATTTTAAAAGTCATGCCGGTGTTTTGCACACCGTTAACTACTACAAAACTATTTCATCTGATCCGCATCAGGCAAGCCGAAATCACTGAAAGCGCGAGATAAGTAGAAAACAGGATTTGGATAGCTTTCTATTTTTCCCTATATTTGCTTGTAATTATGTTCCTTTTGTAAAAAGTAGTAACAGCAATCGTTCAAGTATGTTTGAGTGGTACAGAGCATGTAAAAAGACAATAAAGAAAGAACGAAACTAAGAAAGATAAAGACAAACCTCCAAAAATCGCATTTTCATTTCACTCTCTTATAGTTATTTTTAATTTTTTACCTACATTTTCCTATTCATTATTTTGCCTCCAAGTCAATCTCATATTGCCCCATAAAAGGCTACGATAAAATTATTTTGGATAATAATTGTTGGTTTGGGAATTTCAGTATTTGTACAATGCTTATTGGTATACTTGTGTTCTTTTATTTAAGGGCTGCACGTAAAGTAATCGCAACCATTTTCGTAACATATGTTATGCTCCAAAAATATCGCAGCGTCACTATCTTCTCTTTTTTTCATAGATGGAAGAAATTATCGTTAAAATTTTGTTTTCTTTTGTATAAGGTACACTGATAAGAAATGTCTTGATAACTGTTTGTTGTTACAAAAAATTAGAGCAGAAATTAAACTAATGCTTTTAAATTATTTATAGGAAGGAATCGATCTTGAACAGATGTAGCTCTATTTCGTTTTTCCCAATAAGTACTCAAACGTTTTCAATAGGGTATCAATCGGCGAACGACTAATAATGGACTGAATAGGATCGGTGAAACTTTGTTGCTAATTACTGGAGAAAAAAATGGAAGTGAAAGTCATTAGCCTAAAAATATCTTACTGAAATGAAAAGTAATCATAAACGAACCATCACCTTTCGGTTAACGAAACCGTTTGTTTGGATTTGACACTAAAAATATACCGAAAATTCTTCTTTGTTTTAGCATTTTAAAGTGAAATTTTTGTATTTGTTAATGACCTAGTATGTTGCGAGTCAAGATTGTGGGCCATTTGACATAGGAGTTAGCTGATGTGAAATCAGTTAAAAAATGAAAAAAAAAAAAAAAAGTGAAAAGGTTGATGGTGCTCTAGTGACAATTCGGTTATAAAGTTAGAATTTTTAAGCATGCACAGATACCGTACCGATTGGGCGCTATGAAGAATTGAATAACGTTATAGAAATGTTTCCAGGGAGGGTACTCCGGATTTCAAGTGACGGGGATGATTAAAGGATTTCTTCGGGTTTGAAATTTTCGATTAGGCAGGAAATTTTAGCAAGTATTTTTGGGGTGGAAGGATTTGAGTAGATATTTTCTTGGGTTTTCAAACAATCTGAAGTTTCGTGGTGGTGCCTGCACATCCCGGTCGCGTACCATAGTTCTGCGCATAATCGTTTTTAAAAACTCTATTTTTCGTGTTATATCATGATACTTACTTAAAATTTTTAAGGCTCGGAAACTTGGCATGGGATTTTTTTGGATTAATTATCTGGTCCAGGGATTTTTTGGGGTTTTGTCGGGTTTTGATTTTTGCCCCCTGCATTGAATCACCCTTATAACTTAAAATCCGGAGTACCCCCCGGGTTATTTTCAATACTGGCCACAATGCCCCACAATTAAAGGACGAATCATTTGGACGCCATGATGTCATTCTATTGGCTGGTTTTATTGGTAGTTACATAATAAAGAGAGTAAACAGAACATTTCATGCTGACAGCTTAGACCTAAATATTTTTCAACACTAAAAGAGAATCGAGACCATCTAGTCCTTTCTGTCTAGACTTAATAAGTGCCGATTCAACCAGTTACAGTCAGTTAGTATCCATCAATCTCTGGGATCGTATTAAGAGCTCGTTGAAAGTTAACTTCTGTTTCTCTATTGTCCTCGCCCCGACTTTTGTCCTGACTTTTTATGACGAGTCCCAACGAGCAGGTCGCTGATCGCGGAGATGTACATGCTGGAGGACTTTTGCTGTTAGTGTCCCTGTTCCTCAAATTGTTTATGTCAATCGCCAAGACATCATTGTCGTTTTGTGAGCTTCCAATGAGCCCTAGCCGACTAAAAATTTGCTTAACCGCAGCGCGAAATTCCCTCTTCCGAATAGAATAGATAATCGTGTTGCACACCGAACTGACCACATAGATACACTTTGCACCAAGGATCAGATAGGGTGGAAGGTGAATGCTTGTCGCATACTTACGGAGTAAATTAACAACCCACAGTGGAAAGAAGCAGAACAGAAACGCAGCAATAATAACGACGACATCAACGGACGCCTTTCTTTCTTTTCTTTTTCTTATAAGTTCTTGTTGATTGTTTTCAAGGTTTTCAGCAGAATCGTCAAAGCCTCCTAGCTGGGCTTCTTGTGCCAAGGCGTTTATTTGCATTTTTGCCGTGTTGTAAACCGACCAGTTTAGAAAGAAAATTACCAGAAATGGCACAATGAAGGAAGACAAGTAGATGAACCCATTCCTTGTATCAGATTTATCTCTCTGAGAAAGCCATCCATTTTCACAGCGAAACACTTCTGGGTTATAGACGTTCTGCAAGCCGTAACCAAAAATTGGACCCATGGACACTGGAATTGGGATGAGCCAGATGAGGGACATGAACAGCGCGTTGCGCATAGTAATCGTGCCATCGTACGTTAAAGGCGATTTGACGATTGCCTTGTACCGATCGTAAGACACCGCCACCAGGTGAAGAATCGTGTTGATGTAAAAGTAGCGATGAATGCATGGATTGAGATAACACATCGTCTGGCCGTACAGCCATTTTTCTTGTGCCATGCTTGCGATGCGAAACGAGTTATCGAGAATTAGATTGAGAAAGTCGGACACAGCGAGACTGGCAAGGAGAATGTATCGCATCACGTGCAATCTCCTTTCGAAAGATATCGTCAAGATCACCAGCAGATTACCAGGAAGGCCGACCACATCGAAAAGTGCATGGATCACTGCAATAACTTTTAAAAACACCATTCTGGATTAAATATTTGTTGAATAAGTGTTTAGACGTCTTGCATCGGTGCTGTTTTGTAGCGTTTGAACAATGTTCCGAAGTTCATAAAATTATTTGGTGCAAAACAAAAAGAAAACGTTTGCAGGAAAACTAGCTTAGCTGATTAAAACAAAAACAAAACAAATCGGCATTTTTGTAAAATGTTACACAATAAATAATTTCCGTGTTCCTATTTGTAAGCTCAATGCCTTACGGTTTTAATCTGTGCCTTAAACCGTTGGTGAGGAGAAACAGTACTGAATGAAGCCTGTGTCAGTAGCCAGTGTGTTAAGTTGAGTAGCAGGTGTAATAAGAAAAGACACACAGTGTGTTGCAAACCTAGAGTCGAAAAACTAAAATCAAAACAGTTTTTTCGATTTAATTTTTGTTTTCATTCTATGAATAATCAAACATATAAGCACCTATTGGGAAAAGTTTGGAAGGACTGTTCCCATGTAACGGAAGCAATTTGAAAATGCCTCACTAGTATTAACAATAACAATTCAAACGACAGAGAAGTTTTAATTTATATTTACTGGCATGCGTTAGATTTGCTTAGAAATTAAGGGATATTTTATCGAGATGTACATGATATTTCAAGATTCCCCTTTAAAACGTCTTGCAGATTTTAGATTTACGCTGCGAACTTAGTCATTTACAAACAGTGATCAACATAAACGTTCCAATGACACGAATTTGGTGTCAAGCAGATGTCCCATCTCTGAACGGCAATAGATATTTTTTATTTTGTTTAAATAACAAAAGGATAGAGTATCTCTGTTGTTTAAAAGATATCTGTTCAAAACATCTACCTTTGGTTGTAGCTTCTGCACATCCAATTACTGCAAATTGGATTTGGTCGTTGACTTTTATTTTGCATCAGTTTTGATACTATCAAAACGTCTTACATTACAATGCTTCATGATGATCTTAAACTTACACACAAAACTTCAGCAGTACCTTTGAGGCGAACGGCGTGTATTTTTAGGGGGTGTTTACATGACACCGGGGCGACTTTCGCCCCGGAGCGGGTACACTCCGGTTCCCTCTCATGGCTCTATATTTGTTTACATGATACCACCACAAAATGTTATGCCGGCGCGAGTCACCCCGGCGTGAGTTCACCCCGGTTGTTGTACCGGGGCGAGAATTTCACTCCGGTACGAAATCTGGCAGCGGTATCATGTAAACGCGAAACGACCACCCGTTTCGGTGTGAAACACTGGAACGGGTAGCGCATGCGTAATGTTTGCGATTTTGAATCACACGTGTACCTTCAAATAATAAGATATGAAATGACTCGGTCATAATGTAAACCCGATACGAAATCAAAAAGTCATCCCGGTATGAGACTCGCGCCGGTGCGAGCTTTCTCATTAAACACTCCAGTGTTTTGTTAGCACTCTGACGCGCAACAAAAATATTAAGTCCGATTGTCTCGGGGGAAAATAATTCTCCCAGTGCTATCGTCAAAACCTCCGGCTAAACTGAAAGTAAATTTTGTAAAAATTAAAATAATTCCTAAAAACTAAAATCCGAGAAATGACATCAACTCAGTTTTACGCTTAATCGGACAAATGATCCAGACAAAATAATCAGACAAAAAAATCGGACAAATAATGGGACATAAAATCAGATAAAAAATCAGACAAATGATCGGACAAAATATCAGACAAAGAAATCAGACAAATACTCGGGCAAAAATTATGGACAAGATAAATGAATCGGGCAAAAAAATCGGACAAAAAATCGGATAGCCTGCGAGAAAATCAGACATACGTCAAATAATCGAGCAAATAATCGAACAAAAAAATCGGACAAAAAGATCGGACAAATAATCGGACAAAA